ACAATCCGGAGACACCCCAACGGAGAAATCTGGCGACCACCACCTGGCGGTCTTGGGTGCCATGGCTGTGTGGACAACAACTACAAGCAATCACCAAAGCACAGCAGGGATCCGAAGATGTGTCGGTGGTATGATGTTGAACCATACTATTGGGACTGTCCAAGCTGTAAGAAGGAATATCAGAAGAGTAATCCTCACCACACCAAGATATCTGGCCAATGCAGATTCGCCGAGAAATGGAAGCTGCCAGATAACTTTGGTCAGCCGCACCCGGCGGGGCAAGCCGCTCCTGCGGCGCCAGCCGCGGAAGCGGCTCCAGCCGCAGAAGCGGCGCCAGCCGCAAAAGCGGCGCCGGCCGCGAGAGCGCGCATACGCGCGCCTAGGCCGCCACGGCCTGGTGAGGGCGACCCAACCGCAGGCGCCAGCAGCCATGACATCACCAGAGCTGACGGGGCTACTGGTGGCAACAGTGGCGCTGGCAGTTCTGACGATCACCGTAGACTGCCACAAGTTGCAGCAAGGCGCGGACGCATGGAGGGAGGAGATCCTCCACCACCGCCGCAGCCTCAAGCAGAGCCGAGGCCAAGGCCCAGGCTCCCTGATTGGACTCGCTTCGACGTTCAGCTCAGCCTCCAAAACCTGCGCAGCTTCGACCCAGCTGTAGTGCAGCGAGAACTCCGCAACCTCCACTTGAGATGGTTTCATGCCAAGGAGCCAAAAATGCGGATGATTCTAACCAAGGTTGGTCTGGGTGAAACCCGTTTGAGTCTGATCAAAGGCATTTGAGACTCGTGTAGAGAATGTCGAGCCTGGGACAAACCAGGCAATACGGTGATGCCTTCTGTGTCACTGCCAGGACGTTTCAACGAGGAAGTCGAATGTGATCTTTTCTTTTACAAACAGGAACATATTGTTTTTCACATCATCGACCGTTGTTTTCGCTGGGCAGCTGGCACAGAGATTCCTGATAAAGCCATGCATACTGTTCTCGATGCCTATCATACGACTTGGATGCAACATGGCCCTGCTAAAATCTTATACTCCGATGGGGAAGGAGCACTGAAAAATGATACAGCAAAGGCCATCCTTAAGGCTAAGGGAACAGAGCTTCGTATTCGAGCGCGTGGCCAACACGCTACAACTATCGAAGCTAGGAACGGCATCCTGCGACACCTCCTACACGTGATGGGAGAAGAATTGAATAGATTACATATCCCTCTCAATTTCACTCGTCTCTTACATGAAGCCTTGTTTGCCAGCAACGCATTTACCTTCTATAATGAAGTGTCTCCGTACAATGCGCTGTATGGTAGACAGCCAGCTATGCTTCCTGATTTCCCTGTCTTGGATCATGATCAGCCCACTGAATCATCAGATCACTCAAGGGAGGAAACAATCAGGAGGGTTAGTCTGGAGGCAATCACGCAGGCCACTGCGGTTGCCAAGCCGAACAGGGCTCTCCGTACGAAGACTACTGCTACGGGTGAATTTCACTACAAAGAGGGAGATCTCGTGGACTATCATCGCCCGACCACCACGAAAGACGACTGGGGTGGATGGAGTGGTCCATACCCGGTCATCCGCAACGAACCTGACCGAGGCCAAGTCATCGTGAAGGTCGGCAATCGCGAAGTACGAGTACAGTATCCTGACACACGACACACACTGTACATCGAAGCACTTATGGTCCGCGAGATAGGATCGGACAATATGGCCCTTCGAACAGTATTGGCCTTTATTGCCGGTCTGCCAGCGGGGAAACCCGCCATGACTTTCGGATATCTACCAACGAAACAGGGTTGGCTGCAGATGACTGCTGCGAGCCGACTTTCACCTAAGGTGCACTTGGCTCTTCAGTACAGTACCACTTTTTTTATTTTTTTTTTTTGTTTTTTTTTTTTTTCATTTTTTTTTTTCTTTTTTTTTTTCTTTTCTGTTTTTTTTATTTTTTTTTTTTTTTTTCATACGCAACTACTTTCGTATTGAAAACGTTGTTGCTGTACGACTCGCCAAGAGCCTGACGAAGTTGCCTGCTGCACCCTATGCAGACAGCTGTACACGAGTGCACTATGATAACGATGTGACCCCTGGGTTTCATTACTACGAAGCTGATGGCACTGCCTTGAACATCTATGACATCACAGGATCTACACACTCACGCATCATCCAGTGTCTTAAATCCAGGAAGCCTTCTGCTGGGTTTGACCAAGACCTCACTAAGTTTGAGGAACTCGCTGATGGTCCACCACCAAGCGAATCACCTCCAGCAGCTGCTCCTGAGGAGCCTCCTACGGACAACGATGGTCGACTCCCGACCATCATAGAGGAGACAGAAGAAGATCTGGATGCTTTTGTCTTGAAGTCGTGGTATGCTGAACTGATGGATGACAGAACACTCCTTGAAGCTGACACAGAGGAAGTCATGCATACAGTTCCTACATACATGACAGACACACAGTGTGTGTTAGTTTCTACGACCTGTGAAGACGTGCAAGGCCACTTGCCGGAGCGGGGTCACCCGCCAGGATACGACATGGACACTTCTTACTACGTTCCTTTATGCCCCACGGAACCGGATAGCAAATATGATCTGGACTCCGATGAGCACGGGAAGTATATCGAGCTCTGCTTCACTGCAGACATGTCCAAAGTCGTCCTGTCCGAGCAGCAACACCGACTGTTGGATGACAGCAGCGTCACAACTATGCGAGTATACGTTAGCGCTGCCTCCAAACGCGCCGTGGTCGTCAAGGAAGACGATCTACTCACGAAGGCCGACATCCAAGCAAATCCGGTCAAAGTTTCCAAAGCCCTCTACACAGAACTGAAGACTTGGCTTGACAACAAATGCTTCCAGATGACTGACCTAAGCAAGGCGTCTAACATCATGACGTCACGCTACGTATACAAATTGAAGTTTGTCAAGAACGAAAAGGGCGAAATGGAAAGGACGATCCGGTTACGCTTGGTACTCCGTGGCTTCATGGACCTCGAAGCCTTTGATGTCGAAACCTTCTCTGGCACGGCAAGGAGGTCAAGCCAGAGACTGCTCGCAAGTTCTGCTGCATGCAACAAAGCTTGGATTATCGCTTCCCTGGACATCAACATGGCTTTCTTGAAGGGACTGACCTATGGCGAGCTCGCCGCGGCAACGGGCGAGAAAGAACGTGTGGTGTGTTTCACACTACCACCTGGGTCAGCAGCTGTCCTTCGCACACTGCCAGGCTTTGAGTCATATGACGAATCAAAGCATTGTCTCCGGTGTCTGAAACCGGGGACGGGCACGAAGGATGCTCCCAGGGCATTCTCGCTGGAACTCAGGTCCATCACTAGGAGCTTTGGGCTACAACCTACTTCATACGACGAAGAGTTCGAGATGAGCCCAAACCTCTTGACAGCCAAGCACGTTGATGACATCAATATGACTGGGAGGGAAGAGGCTATCGACAAGTATGTCAAGTGTGTTGAAGATACGTTTGGGAAGTGCAAACTGAACAAGCACACATACACGAACTGTGCTGTTCGGTACAACAAGACCGATGATGGGAGAGTCACTCTCGACCAGGACGAATACATCAAACAGCTTCGTCCTATCACACATCCAGAACTCACAGGAGCTGATCCTGAAAGCAAGGCGACGAAGACAATTTCTGATATGTTCGTCAGTCTTCGTGGCGCTCTAGCCTATGCGTTGATCACGCAGGTATGGCTAATGGTCTATGTTGTCTCACTACAACGTATCCAAGAACCGACAAACATCCAGGTACGACGACTAAACGCGGTTACCAGAAAATTGCAGGCAGGTCCGAAGAAGATCGCGTATCATGCTATGACTCCAACAGGAGAAGTCGACCTGCATAGCGATTCTGGCTATCGTCGTCTCAACGGAGATGAAGACGACGAAGTCAAAGGCTACGGTATCCGCGGGGCTAACCTGCTGAGGCGTGGCCACACGCAAGCGGGGAAACCCGTCGTGCACCTGGTGGACGCATACTGCAAGTCTCATCGACTGCAAGTGCGTTCGAGCTACTCTGCGGAAACACTGGCAGCAGCCCACAACTTGGAAGACTGCTACCCGACCATTGTAACGCTCCACGAGCTACACTCGGGACCATTGACCCCCACACAGTTGAAGAACATATTGGAAATGGGTGGTCTATGTATCAAAGTCACTCTGACTATTGATGCCGAGTCTGTCTTCAAATCTTTGTCTAGCAAGGATCTGAAGAAGCCCACAGAGTGTACTCTGCTTGGGCACATCAGCTGGATTCGCCAGATGATGGAACGTGGAATCGTGGAAAGCGTCCAATGGTGTGACACGCGGGATATGACTGCCGATGGTCATACCAAAGGTAGCATTGACCGCGCGTTGCTCCTACAAGTAATGGCCGGCCAGCAATCCTTCAAGCACGAGCTGAAGAAACATACGCCGTATAGGGCGGGCAGGTCGTCTCAGGACGGCCCTGCCTCCCGAGCCAGCGGGGAAACCCGCGGGCAGGTGCGCTTTAGCAGCGAGGAAACTCGCCGGTAGCGAGGCTACTCGCGCGCCCTTTCCTTGTAGGCAGCCGCTGCTGCTTAGCACTGTTTTTCCGCATAATAGAAGTGCGGTACCTGCTCGTCTCCTCCCCCTCCGACTTTAAACGGAGAAGGTTAAAGGCGAGGTATAAATCGAGCATGTACCGCTGCCGTGCCTGGCTCAAGCCGGGCCCGGCATGATATGTGACTGTGCCTCACCGAGGCGCACTACTTGCATCAGAGATCGGAAAATCCTTTTTCCATTGACGATGCCCATCCTACTCTTTACTCCAGATCCCATGCTTCGTCTCGCTCTCTTGCTCATGCGATATGAGCCAAAGCCTGGGATATGGGAGCGCCTAAGGCGGACTACATACCTAAGCTTACCAGCCTGTTTTCGACTGATTGTGCCCTTGTCCTGGTGCCCCCATCCAAGTCGGGATGCCCCTAGTCGTGGGACCACTCTGAACGTCGCCCTGCCCGAGGCCGCGTACCCTTCCAGACAGTGGGTCACCGAGGTGATGTTCGAGAAGTTGAAGGCTCCTGCGGCGGAGAGAGAAGGACGTGTGACGTGTGACCATCCTTGTGCACGTTTGTGCAGTCGCACCAGATCGGGTCCCCTCGTCGATTCTATGGGTCAACGCGGAGGATGCTTTCTTTGCGCATGGTTGTGAGGGTGTAGTGCGGGGACGGGACGAGTAAGCGTGTACGCCGTCAAGCTTGATGTGCACGGGGGGAGGTGCCACAACGGAATCGGACAAGACGGACTGGGATAGCAAGGGTCGGAATGTAACATAACTATGATTCGCGGTGGAAAGATCTCGCGCAGTTCAGCCCAGCCGAACAAATCAATACTCTTGGACTTTGGTCTGTGTCTCTTGTGAGATCAGGGAGTTGCCGGCCTGAAATATAACTCAATCTCTTTGAGTGTCATCGTTGAAACATCGATCTCTTTGACTGCCATCACCTTATGTCGGTGCCGATCTCAAAAGGTTTCCCTTCCGTTTTTAAGGTCGCATCCCTAATGTTCTAGTTGTCTTGGGCTCGTCAATCTTAGGGATACTGTAAGTTCGATGCTGGTGAAGAAGAAGCGAGAGCGTGGGGCGAGAATAGGGGCCGCCGGTCATTGTCATGCGGACGGAGGCTCGCGAGCCGAGGGCCTGGTGTCCTGCACAGTCGAGCGCTGGAGCAAGGATGCAGTGCTTCGGTTCGGGGCTCACGCAACGGGGGTCATAGCCGACGCGCGTCAGCCAGTCCCCTCCGATTCCCACTCCCTCCGGCCCTGGGTTTGGGAGCCACGCGGGGCCCCTCCGTTAACCCAGGTTCTGGGAGCTAGCTCGCGGCTGGCCGCTCTGGCTGGCCCGCGTTAGCGCTGGCGCAGGTTGGCGCGTCCCCGAAATGCTGCCCTTGCGTCCTTCTCTGCTCGGCCCGTCCTTCGCCGATGCGGCTCGTCTTCTCCTGCCTCTGCGGCTGCTTCCTCTCGTCACTTCTCGCCACTTTGCCTCGCCTCCTGCATGGTCCTCAATTCGGGTACGCTCGATCACATCCGCTTCACCGACTCGGACAGTGTCCGCGTCCGCTGACAGCAGAAGTAGACTGTTTGTCACGATTCGGGTTCCAGGATCTCTCGTGATCATCATCTCCCTCACACACCCATACATATCAACCACATTGGCACGATTACCATCATTATTTGATTTACACTCACACGTGCATCACCACCACCACCACCACCACCACCACCACCACCACCATCATCATCATCATCATCATCATCATCATCATCATCATCATCATGATCATCATCATTATGATCATCATCATCATCATCATCATCATCATGATCATCATCATCATGATCATCATCATCATCATCATCATCATCGTCATCATCATCATCATCATTATCATCATCGTCATCATCATCATCATCATTAGCCATTTTGGCTCAAGGGCCAAGATGGGTACTCTGTAATTGCCTAAGCGGGGTAGGCTCCCATCCATATCCCAGAGTCTTGCGCTCATGCGTTTGCAGCACCAACCAGGGGTGAGCTGCCACCCATTGCGAAGCTTCGCCATCCACATTCTTGCTGTCAGCTTTCCATATCAACTGCGCTGCACTTCGGACGGAGACAGCCAGACTCATTGAATCCTCACTGCGACTCCAGTGGTCTACCGAATGGCTTCAGACCGCGGGTCAGGTTCCAGTACATCCAACTCCAGTGCTCCCAAGCAGCGTCGCTCGCACCATCGCCGGCACGCGGCACACAGTGGATCGCACAGTGATCGAGGGGACTCCACCACACCAGCACAAAACATCGACGAGATCGACAGGGCAGTGCAACGAAGGAACCACTAGCCCAGCGTCGGGATCAAGCAGGGAGAGATAAAAAGGGTTCACGTTGCCCTGGCAGCTCGGGAGGGCGCGCGGTTCGGGTCCAACAACAACAGCTGCAGCGACAAGCAACATAAGTATGTCAGCTCATGGACGGAGTTGATGACCTTCCCACTTTCCCATCTGCAGAGAGGCCTCGAGCTGATCCGCTTCGTGAGCGTGGTCCATGGGTAAATCCGAGGGCTACCCCAGTGGATGGGCCTCCCACACCAAATACTCAACAATGAACTTGCGGACATGGCGCTGGGGCGGGCCAGGCGCTGGAAGCCAGGCTCACATCCATCTCCTCCGAGCAGGTGCAGCTGGCCACATCGAGGCTCCAGGCCGAGACCACCTCTATCCTGCAGTCGGCCACGCCCACTCTTCGCAACGAATTTCAAACAGTTCTCGGTCAAGTTCGCCAGCAGGACATGCGGCTGGACATGTTGGATTATACTGCCAGGGACATCAATCAGAGGACCCACGTCGTCGAGCAAGAGCAGCAGCAGCTGCGCGCCGATGTCGAGCGCATCCAGGCCAGCTTGGCCATGGCAGAAGCGACGCTTCCACCGCTCGACGTGGCAGTGCTGGCGGTTTGGGACCGCCCGCCAGACCCTCACCTCTATTCTATCGGAGCAGCGACAGCAGTTCAGCCATCCGAAGTCCGCAGGGCACCCGAGCCATGGATCAATGCAGCTGGAGTGGCCATTCCGGATGTGGAGCTGGTCCGCGACGCTCCATCCAGGCGATCTCACCCGCGGGGTATAGGCGGCGCAGCGGCTTCCTCTTGCAGCGTTTCCCCTGCGAGGAACCTTCGACAGGGGGGGGGGGTCATTTCTCTTGCAACAACGCCAGTGGCGCCGTCGCTCCGCTCTATATCAACGCAGACAAGAGCCCCGAGACGCTGCGGCGCGAAATCCTGGCAACTAAGCTCGTCCAGATACTCGGAGAGCGGCGTGAGGGACACTTCTTCAGGAAGGTGGGCAACGACGGGATCGTCTCGTGCAACTCCATGTCCATCGTCAGTGTGGAAGTTGGGAACAAAGCCTCTGCTGCCACCCAACTCAGATGGGACAGTGCCGCCATCGTCAGGCTTGGGATTGACGCACAAAGCATCAGCGACACGTTCCAGCGCATATGTCGCGCCACCGACGCACCGCTATGGTCCATCTACTGGTGCAAGGCGCCAGTCGCGTATCAACCAGATGAAGTGCAGAGTCGAGCTCGGCGCAAGTGGTGTCGCCAGCGCGTCGCCCTCACGTTCAATGTCATGCCGTAGTTCCTCGGCGGCAGAGTCTTGCGTTCAATGATTTGCAGGGCCAGCCAGGGGTGCGCTGTCGCCCATTGCGAAGCTTCGCCTCCCATATTCTTGCAGTCTCGGCAATCCAAATCAATTGCGCTGCGCCTCGGGCAGGGTCAGCGCGACTCGTCGAGTCCTCGCGGCGACGCCAGTGGTCTGCCGAATGGCCTCAGGCCGCGGCTCAGGTTCCAGTTCGTCCAATTTCAGTACCTCCAAGCAACGTCGCTCGCATCGTCGTCGGCGCGCGGCGCGCATTGGATAGCGCGGTGATCGAAGGGTCTCCGCCGCGCCTGCAGCCAGCAGAGAGCGTTGACGTGATCGACATGGCCGTGCTACGAAGGACCCGCCAGCTCGGCACCGAGATCAAGCAGGGCATGATTTGGGTTCACGACGGCCAGGCTGCCCGGGAGGAGGCGCGGTTCGGCTCCATCAACAACGGCAGCGACGACGTGGGGCAGAAGTATGCCAGCTCATGGAGGGGATTTGACGACCTTCCCACATTTCCAGATGCCGAGAGGCCTCGAGCTGATCTGCTTCGCGAGTATGATCCACGGGCAAATCCGAGTGCCACCCCCGTGGAAGGCCCCCCCCCCCCCCCGCGCCTAATGCTCAGCGGTGTGCTGGCGGACATGGCCCTTGGGCGGGCCAGGGCCTGGCTGGCAGCCATCTTCGCTGAGCAGATGCAGCTGGCCACGTCGAGTCGACTCCGCTGATGGCCATTGCTCTGTGATGGGCGTGAATGTGCGCAGCTACGAGTCTGCTCCCAATTTCAAACACATGCTTGTCCATTCTCGGAAGGATGCGGTTGAATGGAATCATGGTGACCCACGTCATCGCGCGCTTATTGCCATGGGCGGCCTCGACGCTCGTGATGGAGAACTGCTTAGTTCCGACGAGCCAATCTCATGGCAAACGCCCATGCTGACTGCGCCGTCATTCCAGCCGCATGAGATATTCCTGCGTGCTTTCGTTGACCTGGCCCAGGGGGAGCTGGCCGACATCCCGACCCACGTCAGTCGCCATCAATGCTCCGCCTCCGCCGTAGACAGGGCCTTCCTTTAAATTCCATTGCGCTTCCTCCTCGATGCGGTTATCCCCCAGAATGTGGGCTATGTCCAGCTCGAGAGCCCCCAGGGGGATCTCGCCGAGCACGCCGTGCCGCTGCTCAATCGGAACTTCAGGGCACCAGAAGACGCCGCGGATCATCGCATCCCTGGTGTGGTGTTCAGCGACGTGAGGTATAATGATATCCTGGACATGCCAATGGTCGACGTGGGCCTGGATCGTTTTCCTCCAGTTACCAGGCGGCAGCAATTGAAATATCCGTTGAATATAGCGGCGAAGCAACCGCGATGAATTGCGGCGACGCCCATTTTGTGCAAATTACAAGCGTGCCCGAGGGGGGCGCAACATCACTTCGGACAGCATCCGTAAGGGCTTCGCCCCCGGCCGCCGGCCCCCTCTCTATCAGAATGGGATGCATCAGAGCTATATTGGGATGTTCGGGCGCAGTCTTGATGACATTCGGGAGCGTCATGCTAGGGCGGCTGGCGATGGGCAAAGCAGATCGAATTGTTGAAGTTGTTGTTGAACGCTTTGTTGCCTTCTGGGCATTTTCCTTCAGTTGTTGACTGGGGGCGCTCTGGGAACGGCTGGGGATTGCTTCGGGCAGTCTCTGGGAAGGTTATTTTTCTGCTCTGGAGAAGGAGTGTCGCCTTTGGGCAGCTTCCGCGAGGTGGATTCGTAGCGCGAGGGGTGCGCGCGAATTTGGTGTAATTTGCGGGGGATCGTGGCCTCGGGGGCGCGAATGTGGCGTAATTTATAAAGGGTCGTGGCCTGGGGGGCGCGGCGGCGGCGTAATTTGCGAGGGGCCGTTGCGTCGGTGGCGCGAATGTGGAATATCTCGCGCGGGATCGTGGCCTCGGGGCGTATCTTGCGAGGGGTCGTGGTCTGGGGGGGGGGGGGGGCGAGCGCGGGGCCCGCCGCCGAATTTTCCAGGAAGGGGGGGGGGGGCAAGAGTAATATCAGCGGAGCACGTTTCCCAATGTTTTTTTTTTTTTTTTTTTTGGGGGGGGGGGGGGGAACTTATATTAAACAATCGCAAGGTAATTCACAGGGGATCGTGGCCTCGGGGGCGCGAAAATTATGTAATTTGCATGGGGTCGTGGCTTCGGGGGCGCGGGCGTGGTGTAAATTATTAGGGATCGTGGCCTCGGAGACGCGAACGTTGTGTAATTTGCACGGGATCGGGGCTTCGGGGGCGCGAATACAATGTAATTTGCAAGGGGCTGTGGCTTCGGGGGCACGGACATTTATAGCATTTTTGCGTGTCCCGCGCCCCCCCTCCAGAAATTCTGAGAACCCTTCCGGGGGGCGCTAGCCCGGGCCCTTTTCGCCCCCCCCCCCCCCCCTCCTCGCGCGGGCAGTGACAATTTGCAGTAGGAAGCAGAAGGCAGTGCTGTAACAATGGAAACTGGAAGCTAGAACTGGTGCAGGGAGCAGCAACCTTTACCCTCGCAGCCTGATGGCCCCGCAAGGGGGCCGGCGGATTTTTCGAGCTGTCTGGGGGCAAGATGCGAAGTTCGCAGCTCTCATCATAGCCAGTTCAATCGTGGGTGCCAAGCATCTCCACCTTCAAGGTGAACAAGTTCAGCGTCGGGAGCTCGATTCTGCCCGCCGTCAGTTTCGTTCGCTACGCGCTGCCGAGCCTCAGGCCGACCGCGAGTTTGCTGTGCAAGCAACCCAGCGTGCTCTACGAAGACGGCAACGGCATGTATGGACGGTCTCGGATGACCAGATATTCCAGAGGCACCCCGTGGCGGGCCGCCATGTTCCAGAGACCCTGAATGACCCCAGCTTCGCCTTCCTGCCAAGAGAGAGTGAGGCGAGCAATGCCTGCGAGTGCCTGCGGAGCCCGGACCAAACTCGCCCCCTTCTGTTACGCAGCGCGGACTCGGGGATCCTAGCCGCGGCGGCCAATCAGTGGCTTAAAGATATGGCCTGCGCGCGCACTCACCAGGCCCAGCTAGGACTTGTGCGGGGCAGGCATTTTCTGCATACTTTGCCCCAGCTAGACGCAGCTGCCTGCTCGGCAAGTACCAGGGAGACAGCTGTGACGCAAGCGCCTGTCTTTGGTGCGCTCGATATAGCCGGTGTGCTTCCATCTCTCGACAGCGAGTGGCAGTGGGGGGTGCTCTTGCTTAGAGCCTCGCAGCTATGATCTGCTGCAGGGCGAATTGCTATTTGCGTTCCACTTGCGTTCAGGCATGGCGCAAAGGTGCCCGCGTTTAGGCTCGGCGTGGGTCAGCTATCGCGCCCCGCAGCTTTCACTGCCAACCGTAGTCCTGCGCAAAGAAAGTTCGCTCTGCGCAGAGTGCTTCGTTTGCCATCCTGCGCGCTCCGATTGGCTGGTTTGTTTTCATTCAAAGCGCGCGGTTTAGCGGCGCGCGTGTCATAGCGAGTCATGTATGCAGCAAGCTCGTGGAGATGCGGCTTCCATGCTCTGCGAAGCTGGGGGGCGCAGTTGCGCGAATGGCCTGAAGCGGCGATCTTCCAAGTGCCACCTGGTGCGCTGGACGCGTGCGCAATGGAATGCGCCATGCTGGGCGACGGGGCATAGTTTCTTGCGGCGGTTTGATAGTCGTTCCGAAGTGCCTACCTTTTCACCCATTCCTGTTGCACTCCAGCGTTCGGCGCTCGCGGCGGCCCGCCAGGAACGGGCTAGTGCAGTGGGGGAAGATTGCAGGAGGAAGGTCCAGCGTGCTTTTCCTTCCCTGCTGCGCGTCTCACTTTTTCCATTTGGATTTGCGAATGCCATCGCTCAGTGTTTGTCTGCGCGGGGCATTTCTGCCTCGATTGCGGTGGGCGAGCGGTGGGGGGAAAGCGCTGTGGTGCTCCGCGCGACTAAACCTGCGTTGCTGTGGAGTCTGCACAAGGCCCTCGCAGGAGGGTGGACAACATCGCATTGCATGCGTGCCACTGGAGCGCCATCGCGTTTTTTGGCTGCAGAGAGCAGCTCGACACATTCCCACACTATCCCTTCTGCTCTGTGCTCCTGGCCTTGCCTCCTTCACCTCATTTAACGCTCGGCCTTGGTGCCGACAACGAATGCAACTGCGCATCGTGTGCATTCATTCCACAGTGCCGCCATGCAACTGGGTGTGCCCGCTTTTCACAGCCATCATAAGCTCAAGGCGACGCTGGTTCACGGAATCGTTGCGAACCCTGCTGGGCAAATCGCCGATGTAACAACTGCCGTGCACGCCAGTGGCAACTAAGCGTGCGGCCAGACTCTTGCCCCCAGGTGCGGCCGATCATCATCATCATGACCATCATCATCATCATCATCATCATCATCATCTCATCGTCATCGTCGTCGCCATCATCACCATTATCGTCAGCGCTTTCATCATATCGCACACACCCACACACTGCATCCTCGTTATCACGATAACGGTAATCATCTCATTCACATGCTTACGCACTCACAGCATTATCACCACCACCACCATGATCAGCATCATCATCAACATCACCATCATCAGCAGCAGCACCCTGCGCGCACACATACACGCATTCACGCACATACTCACAAACCCACACGCTCATACATTCGTAAGGTAGATGTCTCAAGCGGTGGCCTCGTTTGTGACTGAATTGCGATGGGGTCTAGGGAGGGAGCCCGTTCCGTACGAGGTCCGCGTTTGATGTTCGTATCCTGAAGCGGCCAGCGGCATACCCTATAAGGACAGGTTTTCGCCATCCTGTTCGCCAGAACTCCATTCGCAATCCTGTTTTCGAGTTTCCGGAGCCAATCAGAAGACATTTCGGGCTCTTCGAGTTCCCAGATTTCCATTCCTGGCAATGATGAGCCAAGTGTAAGCGACTTCGTGCTCCCAGAACTCCTCTCCTGGGATTATGTTTTTGCTCGCATCCTGGCATCCTGGCATCCTGACAGCTTGGCTTTCTGGCATCACTGGCATCTTTTGGTGTCCCTGGCATCCCTGGCTTCCAGGCGCGGGCCCCGCAGGTCTGACAGCGTTTCACGGGTCTCACAGCCCCGACAAGGCGTACACGCCCCACTCGTCGCACAGGTCCCACAGGCCTCACAGGTCCCACAGGTCCCACAGATCGCGCAGACCGTGCGGGTCTCACAGGACTCACAAGTCCCATACGCCCCACAGGCTCCACATGTGGCGCTGGTCCCACAGCTTCCACAGGTGGCACAACTCTCACATGCTCCGCAGGCCCCACAGGTCCCACAGGTCGTGCGGGTCCTAAGTGTTACATCGGTCCCATAGGTCCCGCAGATCCCACAGGTCCCACAGGCCGCGCAGGTTGCACGGGCACCCTGTCATCCTGGGATCTTGTCATGCTGGCATCTAGGCCTCCTGGCCTCCTGGCCGCCTCTGGCCTCCTGGCCGCCTCTGGCATCCTGGCATCTCTGGCAACATGGCATCCTGGCAAAAGCCCCCAGGAGACCCGAAGCGATCACCTCGAGCCTCGAGCCTCGGCCGGGAGGTGAAGCCATTCGCCATCTTCAGCACTTGCAGACCTCGAGCCTCGAGCCTCGAAGCGATCACCTCGAGCCTCGAGCCTCCTCTAGACCTCCCCGTGGGCCGGGAGGTGAAGTCCCTCGCCATCTTCAACACCGCGGTGCGCGCCCCGCGCAGGGCGCGGGCCACGGGCAAGGGGGCGGGGCAAACGGGGATGCGGGCCGCCACAGGCAGGAGATGAAGGAGGTGCTAGTTCTGATCCCTGAGGTGTAAGCGCGCGGGTCTTCTGCTTTCTCCGTCCTTTTTCTTTCCTCCTCCTCCTCCTCCTTCCTCCATCCTATTTCCTTCGTCCTTCTCCTCCTTCTCCTTCTTTCTTCTCCTCACACCCCTCCTCCTCCCCCCTCCTCCTCTTCCTCCTCAACCTCCTTTTCCTCCTCTTCTTCTTCTTCTTCCTCCTCCTCCTCCTCCTCCTCCCCCTCCTCCCCCTCCTCCCCCTCCTCCCCCCCTCCTCCTGCTTTTCCTTCTCCTCCTAACGAGCTGACGAGCTGCAGGCGATAGGATCCGTCGGTCTCCTTCTTCCTTCTCCTCCTCCTCCTCCTTCTCCTCGGCACAGCCCCAGCGCAAGATGAAGTCTCTCACGCCTCTATAAGTGGGGGCGGCCGCGTCTGCCAGGAGCTACAGCGGACGCCAACCTGCCGACGGGGCGGAAGAAAAGGAGGAAAAGGAAGACGAAGAGGAGAGAAAGAGAGAGGCGCTGGCTCAACGACGTGCTGCTTCGCGAACATCACTCACCGCCGAAAGCGGCCAGCCCCCATGCCTCCGTGGCTCCTCCTGCACCACGGGACACTGGCCACCCCCAACGGACCTCCGTGTGGGGCACACGCAGCGGGAAGGTGTATGGGTGACCAGGCCCACCCCCGCAGACGTCCTTGCCCAAGGGGGGTCAGATGGGTCCACGTCTCTGAGCCGTGCCCAATTGGCCGATGCCCCTGACCACACCTGACACCGCGACTTGACGGACAGGCAACAACAGTGGCGAGAGCCTGCCCCCAATCCAGGCAGGTACCGCACAGGCCGGCATGCACCCAGCGCGAATGACGAGACCCAGGGACGGGTGCCCTCGCGGGACCCAAAGGCCGGGTCCCCGTGGGACCTGAGACGGCAGACCTGGCCATTTTGGGGGACCACCCCAGCTGGTCCAGGGGTGCCGCCCCAGGCCCGACAGGGCACCGACCCCCTGGCCCGCGGCGCCGCAAGCGACGTCCAGACGGACTTCAGTGCACCCCAGGGGCCCCGATGCGCCGCCCACGCACCGAGGTAACCCCCTGGGTGCTTCCTCCTCCTTCTCCTGCTCCTCCTCATCCTATTCTTCAGTTTCTCCTCAGGCAGAAGAGGTCGCCACAGGAGCTCATCAGGGTCATCCCGATGTTCACGTCACGGCTGGTCGAAGGGACCGATTGCGAGGGTGGTGAGCTCGGTGTAGGAAGTGACGGGGCCTATATCTGAGTCTGCCTTCGAAGGGGCGGCGATGTAGGCATCACGCCGCGCCATGGCAGAATCAGGTGTCGAAGCGCGCTGCTTGGACGCTTTCGGTTCGGCCCTGATTGGTCCTCTGGAGGGCTCCGAAGACCTCCAGAGGAGGAGGACGAGTAATAGGAGGGGGAGCAGGAGGAGTTTGATGGCAAGGGGAAGCAGGAGGAATACGGGGGTATGGAGGTTAGGGTGACGATGTGCTGCTGCTGATGTTGACGATGCTGGTTGTGCTGCTGCTGCTACTGATGATGACGACGATGATGGTGATGATGATGAGGATGACGAAACTGATGATGACGATGATGATGCGACTGCGGATGTTGACGATGATGACGAAGATGACGAAGATGACGATGATGATGATGATGATGATGATGATGATGATGATGATGATGACGATGCCAATGACGACGATGATGATGACGATGCCGATGCCGACGAGGATGCTGATGATGCTGATGATGATGATGGTGGTGATGCTGGTTCTTCTGATGATGATACTGACGACGACGATGATGTTGATGTTGATGGTGATGGTCATAATGCTGATGGTAACGATGCTGATTATGACGACGATGATGCTGCTGCTGATGATGATGATGATGATGATGGTGATGCTGCGATGAGGATGATGATGATGATGATGATGATGATGATGATGATGATGATGATGATGATGATGCTGCTGATGATGATGATGGTGATGATGGTAATTATGGTGGTGATGATGCTGATGGTGGTGATGATGATGGTGGTGCTGCTGCTGATGATGAAGATGATGATGATGATGATGATGATGATGATGATGATGATGATGATGATGATGATGGTGATGATGATGCTGATAATGATGGTGATGATGCTGATGCTGCTGCTGATGATGGTGGTGGTGGTGACGGTGGTGGTGGTGGTGGTGTCGGTGATGTTGATGATGCTTATGGGATTCTGCTGCTGATGATGACGACGATGCTGATAGTGCTGTTCATGATGACGATGCCGATGACGATGACGATGGCGCCGACGATGGTGGTGATGATAGTGGTGGTGGGGGTGATGGTGGTGATGCTGCTGCTGATGGTACTGGTGATCATAATGCGGGCGCCGCCCGCCGTCCCCGTTCTGGCCCTCGAGGCCGAGGCCGCGGCGGCCCCGCCAGGTGCTCAGCCTCTTCTCCACTGGGCGCACCCGCGGCCTGGTCGTCGAGAGCGGCGAGGGCTTGACCCAGGCCCGCGCGCGCAGGGCCGCGCCCACTGCGAGAGTACACCCGTGCCCATGGTCTCGCGCTGTGCGCGCATTCGATCTGCCTCGCCGTTGGCTCCGTAGGATTCGTGGTCGCTCATGATCCCGGTCTTGGGATCTCAGGCTTCGGTAACACCACGCTGCTCTGATGGTCACAACCCAAATGCTATCTATTTGAAAGAGCGTGTTCTACCGCTGCTGGCGGAAAACTGGGGGGAGCCACTGGGGGTTCCCAACCCGTCCCCCCCTTCGAAAACCAGAGTGGGGGTCACTACCGGTTCGACCCCCCCCCTCCCCCCCCCCTGTCCATCATGAGAAGGGGGGGGGGTCACCCCCCTCGCCGCCGGCAAACGATTCCCGCTCCTCGGGACAGTGGGACAGTGGTGGGGACACTGGGACAGTGGTGAGGACGGTGGTGGTGGGGACAGTGGTGTGGTGAAAGTGGGACAGTGGTGGGGACAGTGGGACAGCGGTGGGGACGGTGGTGGTGGGGACACTGGTGAGGGGACAGCGGGACAGTGGTGGGGACATTGGGGACAGTGGGACAGTGGTGGGGACGGTAGTGGTGGGGACAGTGGTGAAGGCGTTTGTGAGGACGGTGGTGGACAGTGGTACAGTGGGGAGAGTGGTGGGGACAGTGAGGACAGTGGGACAGTGGTTGGGAAAGTGGGGACATTGGGACAGCACAGTGGGACATCGGCGGGGACTGGGGACAGTGTGACAGTGGTAGGAACAGTGGGGACAATGGGACAGTGGTGGGGACAGTGGGGACAATGGGAAAGTTGGACCGTGGTGGGACAATGGTGGGGACAGTGGGGACAGTGAGAGACTGGTGGGGGCACTGGTGGGGACAGCGGGGACAGTGGTGTGGGAACAGTGGGGACACTGGGACAGTGGTGGGGGCAGTGGGACAGTGGTGGGGACAGTGGTGGTGGGGACAGTGGTTTGGGGATAGTGGGACAGTGGTGAGGACAGTGGGGACAGTGGGACAGTGGTGGGGACGGTGGTGGTGGGGACAGTGGTGAGGGCAGTGGTGAGGATGGTGGTGGGACAATGGGACAGGGGTACAGTGGGACAGTGGTGGGGACAACTGGGACAGTGGTGGGAACACTGGGACAGCTCAGTGGGACAGCGGCGGGGTGGGACAGTGGGGACAGTGGGGACAGTGGGACAGTGGCGGGGACCGTGGGGAACGTGGGGAGAGTGGGACCGTGGTGGGGACAGTGGTGGGGACGGACAGTGAAGACAGTGCGACAGTGGTGGGGGCCCTGGTGGGGACACTGGGGAAGGCGGTGGGAAAAGTGGGGACAGTGGTGTGGGGACGGTGGTGCTGGGGACAGCGGTGGGGGATGTGGTGCGGACGGTGGTGGGGACCCCGGAGTCGTTTGCCGGCAGTGAGGGGAGGGGGGGTGGTTCGAACCGGTAGTGACCCCCCCCCGGTTTTCTGGAGAGGGGTCGAACCGGTAGTGACCCCCACGGGTTTTTTGGAGGGGGGGGAGGGGTTAGGGCGGGAGGGGTTTGCCGGGGGAGCGGGGGGAGGGGAGGGGGGGTTCAGCAGGAGGGGCGGGATTCTCGAAGGGGGGGACCCCCGGTTTCCGGAGGAAAAGGGGGGGAATTTTCCACAGTAAAGCGGCGGTGGATCAAGCTCTCTCTCTGTCTTTCTCTCTCTCTCTCTCTCTGTCATCTATACATGTACACGTGTAAATGTATATTTGCACATGTGTAAGCATATTTATGTATGTATGTATGTGTATATATATGTATACTACATATACATATATATGTGTGCAGACACACATATACATTATGTATACATATATATATATATCGATGTATGTGCATACGCATATTTTTTATATATATACACACCGCGTGGACCCAACACAGTAGGTTCTCGCAATCCATGTGGTGCAAACTATGTGGTGCAATTAATTTCTGCTCGCAGTGAGTTGTCCACTCCACTGCTCGCGCAAACGTCCCACCCACCCACCCGCAACTTGGTTCGCAAAATATCTTAAGACCGTGACGGTGGGTACCAAATGGCATTTGGCAACGACATTGGCTTGGTCCTGTATTGGAAAAAAAACCAAATGGCACTTGGCAACGACAGCGATGCCGACGACGACAGCGACGACGACGACGACGACGCCGCCGACAACGAGTACGACGACACTGACGACGTCTCCAACGACTTCGACGACGCCGACAACGACGACGACGACACCGACGACGACGACGACGACACCGACGCCGACGACGACGACGATGGCAACGACGACGACGATGACGACGCCGACGACGACGATAACGACGACACCGACGACGACGACGTCAACGACGCCGACGACGACGCCGACGTCGACGACGGCGGCGACGACAACGACGCCGACGCCGACGACGACGACCAAGACGACGACGACGTCGCCAACGAAGACAACGAGGAAGGAGGGAGGACGACGACGGCGACAACGACGACAACGACGAGGGAGGAGGGAGGACGGCGACGACGCGAACGACGAAGAAGGAGGAAGGACGGCGACGCCGACGACGGCAACGACGAGGGAGGAGGGAAGACGACGACGACGACGACGACGACGACGACGACGACGAAATAGGAGGGACGACGACGAGACGCCGACGACGGACGACGACGACGACGAGGAGGAGGAGGAAGGACGACCACGGCGACAACGACGACGGAAACGACCACGACGCCAAAGAGGACGACGACGACGAACACGAGGAAAGACAGAGGATGACGTAGGCGACGACGACGACGACAACGACGCGGGAGGAAGGAGGGCGGCGACGACGACGACGACGACGCAAGAGCGCGCGCGCACGCTTTTGTTGAAAATCCGTGTTGCGAAACCTTGTGTTTTTGTATGTTGTTTGGACACACGATTTTGAAATCCTTCCGAAACCGATGGGTTTGAAGGTTTTCGGCGTACGCGCGCGACGACGCGCGCGTCTGCACTTCGTTTCATTTTTTGCAGGAGATTCTCGCGACGGCACACGCGCAAGGGCGTTCGACAGATTTCGACATGAGCGCGCGCGAAGCCCGTTTGGTAGCATTTTATGAAAATCTTGAAAACCTATGGTTTTTCTTAAGACTTTGCAAGAGCTTTCGCGGAAGCTTGTTTAGCAACTCTGTGTTGCGAAACCCTGTGTTTTTTCCCAACCATCCTGTGGTGTTGGGTCCTCGTTTTGAAGAGACGGTGCCCCGCGTCTCCTTCCTCCTCTCCTCCTCCGCCTCCCCTCCCCTCCTATCATCCTCATCGTCATCATCATCATCGTCATCATCATCATTATCATCATCATTATCATCATCATTCCTCTCCTCTCCTCTCCTCTCCTCTTCTCTCCTCTCCTCTCCTCTCCTCCTCTCCTCTCCTCCTCTCCTCTTCACCCACCCAGTACACCGTTTCGTGGCCCCATAGGGAGCTCCACCGAAGGCCCCAGTGCCCGCGCCCGCATGCGTCACCCACACCCAATTCGGGACACCCCTCACACGTTTCGTGGCTCCATAGGGAGCTCCACCGAGGGCCCCAATGCCCGCGCCCGCATGCGTCACCCACACCCATTTCGGCACACCCCTTCGTGGCTTTCGTGGCTCACATAGGGAGCTCCACCGAAGGCCCCAGTGCCCGCGCCCGCATGCGTCACCCACACCCATTTCGGCACACCCCTCACACGTTTCGTGGCTCCATAGGGAGCTCCACCGAAGGCCCCAGTGCCCGCGCCGCATGCGTCACCCACACCCATTTCGGCACACCCCTCACACGTTTCGTGGCTCCATAGGGAGCTCCACCGAAGGCCCCAGTGCCCGCGCCCGCATGCGTCACCCACACCCATTTCGGCACACCCCTCACACGTTTCGTGGCTCCATAGGGAGCTCCACCGAAGGCCCCAGTGCCCGCGCCCGCATGCGTCACCCACACCCATTTCGGCACACCCCTCACACGTTTCGTGGCTCCATAGGGAGCTCCACCGAAGGCCCCAGTGCCCGCGCCCGCATGCGTCACCCACACCCATTTCGGCACACCCCTCACACGTTTCGTGGCTCCATAGGGAGCTCCACCGAAGGCCCCAGTGCCCGCGCCCGCATGCGTCACCCACACCCATTTCGGCACACCCCTCACACGTTTCGTGGCTCCATAGGGAGCTCCACCGAAGGCCCCAGTGCCCGCGCCCGCATGCGTCACCCACACCCATTTCGGCACACCCCTCACACGTTTCGTGGCTCCATAGGGAGCTCCACCGAAGGCCCCAGTGCCCGCGCCCGCATGCGTCACCCACACCCATTTCGGCACACCCCTCACACGTTTCGTGGCTCCATAGGGAGCTCCACCGAAGGCCCCAGTGCCCGCGCCCGCATGCGTCACCCACACCCATTTCGGCACACCCCTCACACGTTTCGTGGCTCCATAGGGAACTCCACCGAAGGCCCCAGTGCTGCCGCCCGCATGCGTCAGGCACACCCCTCACACGTTTCGTGGCCCCATAGAGCTCCGCCGAAGGCCCCAGTGCTGCCGCCGCATGCGTCACCCACACCCAATTCGGCACACCCCTCACACGTTTCGTGGCCCCATAGGGAGCCCCACCGAAGGCCCCAGTGCTGCCGCCCGCATGCGTCACCCACACCCAATTCGGCACACCCCTCACACGTTTCGTGGCCCCATAGGGAGCCCCACCGAAGGCCCCAGTGCTGCCGCCCGCATGCGTCCCACACCCAATTCGGCACACCCCTCACACGTTTCGTGGCCCCATAGGGAGCCCCACCGAAGGCCCCAGTGCTGCCGCCCGCATGCGTCACGCACACTGCCGCCCGCAACACCCAATTCGGCACACCCCTCACACGTTTCGTGGCCCCATAGGGAGCTCCACCGAAGGCCCCAGTGGCGGCGCTCACATGCGCATGCGTCCCGCGCACCCATTTCGGCACATCCCTGACAGGTTTCGTGGCCCCATCATCCACCGGAGGCC